TGTTTCCTTAATACCTTTCCATTTATCTTAATTACTGGGGCAGCTGGAATACTGTAGTAGAAATATGTCGTGGTTTCTGGCTCCCAAGCACTTTTGCAGTGTCTCTCATAGATTTGAGAAATTCATTTTTGTGAATCCAGTCTCCTCAATGGAGAAACAAAAAAGTGAACTTTCCCAGGTGCTACAGGCATGTAACACATCCTCTGCCAACCACACCCACCCAAGCAAGACTTCAATTCAGAAGCAAGCAGGGTGAAGTGAGTGCCACATGTAATCTTATTTTGTGGCCATGGTGTCGGAGGATTCCAGCAGTTAGGGGTAGCATCGAGGTCTTTACTGTAGCCTCAAAGTATGGTTTGGATATTGTTTCCACTGTGTAGTTTCTAAGACTGCTTTTCTAGTCCATGTCATACAGATCCTGTGAGCTACCTCATATTCTTTAAATAAACATCTTGTCATTTAGAGGTCTTGTTTTTAACTAACAAGAATCCCAAAGGTTGATAAACGAAATGTTAGTATGGTTGGTTTCAGAATTCTTAGGTAATATTTCTGTTCCCTTCCAAATGCTGCATGTATTGTGTTTCATTGTGTTGTGGTGTTTTGTTCTTTGACATTTAGTACTGCAGAGATACTTGATGCCATTTTTTTTTTTTTTTTTTGATGGCAACCTATTCTTCTCTTCCCACTGATTTTTTTTTTTTTCCTCCCTCACTCTGTCACCCAGGCTGCCGTGCAGTGGTGAGATCTTAGCTCACTGCAACCTCTGCCTCCCGGGTTCAAGTGATTCTTCTGCCTCAGCCTTCTGAGTAGGTGGGACTACAGACGTGCGCCACCACACCTAATTTTTGTATTTTTAGTAGAGACAGGCTTTCGCCACGCTAGCCAGGATGGTCTCGATCTCTTGATCTTGTGATCCACCTGCCTCGGCCTCCCAAACTGTTGGGATTACAGGTGTGAGCCACCGCGCCCGGCCCCGCTGATGTTTTTATAAAGTCTTATCTTGGAAATTTTAAAACTTACTGTATGTCTAAATATGGTTTTCTGTTAGTTTTGTTACTTCAGGAACAAAGAGGGGTGAGAGGTTCACAATTGCTTCCCAAACCGGGAAAAGTAGAACAAGGTCTCAAAAATGTCAGGAACTGAGTGACTCCAGGAGCTGGGGGCTTTTTTTTTGAGACAGGGTCTCATTTTGTCACCAAGGCTGGAGTGCAGTGTCAGCCTCCTGAGTAGCGGGGACTACAGGCGTGGAGCACCATGCCCAGCTAATTTTTAATTTTTTGTAGAGACGAGGTCTCACTATGGTACCCCTAGGTTGGTCTTAAACTCCCCGGCTCAAGCAATCCTAAAGTGCTGGGACTGCAGGAGTGAGCCACTGCACCCAGACCCCGTTTTTTTTGTTTTTCTTAGAGACAGTGTGTTGCTTTGTCACCCAGGCTGGAGTGCTTACAGCTCACTGTGGTCTTCAACTGATGGCCTCAAGCTATCCTTCCGCCTCAGTCTCTGTGTAGCTGGGACTACAGGTATGCACCATCAGGCCCTATTTTTATTTATTTATTTATTTGTTTGTTTTTGTAGAGACAGGGTTTTGCTTTGTTGCCCAGGCTGGTCTTGAGCTTGTGATTCTTGTCTCTCACTTTGTCCTCCCAGTATCTGTTCCCTTTACCTCTTTCTCCACTAGGTGGCTTCCTCTTAGTTTAAGCTTCACGATGCCAATCATGGTAATTTGAGCCTTAACTGTGCATGCTCTTTCGTTCCAGCACTCAAGAGCCAGCCAGACAGCAAAAGCCAAAATTGACAAATGGGATCTAATTAAACTAAAGAGCTTCTTCACAGCAAAAGAAACTACCATCAGAGTGAACAGGCAACCTACAGAATGGGAGAAAATTTTTGCAATCTACTCATCTGACAAAGGGCTAATATCCAGAA